TCGTCTTGTTTTTTTTCAATTCTCAGAGCAGCTTGAACTTCTTCCTTCATCACCACAGGCCCTTGCTCATACATTGTTTTGTGAAATTCTTCTGTGCCCACAAAATATACAGGAATTAGTAAATGAAAAGCCAGAATGCTTTTAAACTTTCACTCAAATCACAAATTAAAAATAGTTCCCAGAAAAAATTACTGCAGAAGTATCAACCCTATGTTAACTTTTAAAGGATGATTCGTTCACAGCTCATCTCTACATAGTGTGAAAGAGGGTATGATATGAAAATTATCTTTTTCTAAAGAGTGCTAGTATCTTACTCTAGTCAAACATATCTACATTTTATTAACAAGTAAGCCTAAAAATTTTCAATTGCTCAGCACAAAAGATGAAAGAAAATATACATTCTGAAACTAATTTTTATTTAGTTTTATTTACTTATTTAAACCCTCAAGAAATTTCTAAAACTCTTTGCTGTACTATAATTCTGTTGGACAATTTATCATTACAATAAGTGGGTCACTAGAGCTTGGAAAACTGCTTGACTTAATAAATTTTTTCAGAGTAGCATTTGATGCAATAAAATCTGACCCATATTCCACAGTACACACTGGCACAGAGATAGAAGTTACGATTATTAAAGGAACAGAAACTTGTATTTCCCTGCCATGGAGAGAATAGTTTGGCATCAGACACTAACAAATTTTAAATCTTGCCTTAGCTTATTAAACAAAACTGGTGCCAAGCTTTGTAAAATTACTTGGGGGTGATGTGTGTGTGTGTGTATATATATATATATATGTATATATGTATGTGTGTATGTGTGTGTGTGTGTGTGTGTGTATATATATATATATTTCCCATACACAATACTATTTAGACTTGGACAGGAGGGATAGACATTTGGAAATTTTGCTTCTTGTATCACTGTAAGGGTCTTCTATCACTAGAGATCATGCAAGTACCCAAGAACTGGTTCATAGTTGAACCGAGGAGGCCTGGTTTTCATGCCCCTGTGGTGCTATGACTCTGAGGATGGATTGCAGTAATGCATCATGCTCAGGGCAATACAGGCAAACCATGTGCAGGTTGTAGCTATTAAGAAATTCAAGAGCATGACTGCTCAAGGGCAGTCACTCAAGCAAGGCTGTCATATTCAGGCATCCTTTCCCAGGCACTGCACCTGCTCCCTATCATTCATCAAGGGTCTAAATCACTCAGCCTCCTTGGAAATGATTATGGAAGAAGAGTGAGAGCAAGCCAGGAACTGCATTGAGAGATACACATTTCTCTGTGTGTGCAGACTTGTGTGCACACATGCATACATGTATGCACAAGCTTGTACATATATGTGTACACAGGCAGGTAAGTGCACATGTACAAATGTATGCACACATATAAAGACAAAAATACATCCAGAAAAGGTGATCTCTTCTTTTGTTCCTTTTTAACACTCCGCCCCTAAAAGTTTTAAATAAATATAACCTAGATTGTAGTAGAAAAACTAGGGTGTTTTCTATGCAGTCATTCCAACATTTCTGAGAAGGGCTAAATTCACTACACTCCGTTTCCCAGTAGGTTTAAAAAAATCACTACATTTTTCATGTAACAAATATTAATGTCAACAATGAAGATAATCAATTACCTAAAATGCTACTTCAGAACTATCATCATTACTACCTGGCTCAGGGCAGAAAGTGTAGTTTGTTAACAGCTTCTAAAACATATCTCAAGGCACAGCAACTGAAGCATCAAGTTTAACAAAAACAAGCGCTGGCCAGTTAAGCTGGTATTTAAATGTAGCACTAAAAATGCATTTCACACCCAACTTCATCAATCACCAACCAATCTTACTTTACATCTTGGCCACCAAAAGAAAATGGGATTTGTTTCCCTAAAGAAATATGTCACAGCTCTGCTTGAGTTATTAAGCTTTACTATTATACAGAGAAAGACAGAGTTGAAAGTAAAGGGAAGAAAATTAGATCCAGGTTGCCATCTACAGACTGATTTCAGCATAGCCTATTCATATAGCATTGAAGGTAAGAATACATGGTGAAAAAGGACAGTGAGATGTGACTCTTGGCTTAATGATTTAAAAAAGTAATAAGATAGTATACAAAAGTCTAGAAGGTAGCTTTTCAAATAAATATGAGAATAGTTGCAAAAGCATATCAATATAAAAAGGACTGGATTTAAAAACCATACATTAACCAATATGAAATAATTATAAATATTTGCACTACCTATAATATCTAATTCTCTAAAATAAAAGTATTTGATGCCAAAATAAAAATATACATGTATTTTTTTCAGTAGGGAAAACTACTTAAATTCATTTGAAGACTAGTCTTCCATTTTCACTCATTATCATGTCTCTCCATGACCTTCACAAACATTTTCCTGGAAATCCTTTTGGTTTGTACCTTTTCAAAGAATAAGATCTCTCTTGAGAAAGAGGTATCCAAAAACGTACACTTGATTCTAATTACTAAACGAGATGGCATGAAATTAAAAGCAACTTCAATAATAAATATGAAAGCTGAATTAATTAGTTCAAGGAAAAATAAATACTTTTAATATGATAATCTGGAAATTTTTCTTTGGCCAAGATATATGAAGGGATTCATTAAGCAAAAAATAACTCCATTTTCATGGGTACAATTTAAGCTAATACGCTTAAATTTATTAGTGATGGTTTAACCTAGTTGGACTAGACCTTTCCCCCCCTGATTTTTCTTGGAAAGGTAGAAAATTTGCTTTTTGAAGCCAAGATTAATTTTCCAGGTTAATTGTTCTTTCTATCAAGAAATATTTAAATGCAAGCCTCTTACTAGGAGGGGGGGAGGAAATCAGGCCTTAGAATCTCTATTGAAAAGGAAAAACTGACTGATATTCTATTTGATAACGAGTTCCAGCAGTTAAAAGCCTTCCATCTCCTTATGAAGAAACTACTTTAGAAAACATACACTTAAAATGGGCAATTGTTCAAAACAACTGCAAGATTCTGTAATGGCAAGGAAAGGGCAATTTCCCTAGCACTTTAGAAATACTGTGTCGGGTCAGTGGCAAATATTTTCTCATGGCCACAGACACCAAATGCTTTTGAAATGTATGTAGCTCTACAAAGGCACTAAAATAATAACAATAATCTGAAGAAGAAAGATGAAGCAATCTCCTCTCATAAAGGTTTATAGTCTCCAAAATCTGATGGAGGATCATCATGAGTCAGAACTTTTTAGTGATAAAAATACTAACAAGACTCGAAAGCATTATGCTGAGTGAACTAACTCACTCCCACAAGGATAAATATTGTATAAGACCATTATTGTAGAATGACCAGGAGGGGTGGGAGAGGCTGGAAGCTGAGGGATGTGGATGTACAGGGGTAACAGGGGGATTACTCATTAGTTTATACAATTTGATGGATGAGGGGGTGAGGGAAATTAAAAGAATTTTTTCAAACTTGTATTAGAATTTTATGAATAAACTACTGGAAAAAATACTAACAAAGACGTAGTCATAATTTTGGGAGCTTCACAATCTAATAAATATTGATTAAAATGTGTTGTTGTTGTTGTTGTTATGTAAGCCTCAGTTAATTTTTTGCTCAATAAACTGCATGTTCTTCCAGGTGAATTTTTTTGTTTTCATTTGTACTCATTTATAAAAAAACAAAACCATACCTAAAGCATGCCATCAAGACAAGTCAGTCCCATACGAATTAGAATAAACAATTCCCCATAGAGTTTCAGGATGACTTCTTGGAAGTGATCAGCTTAGTCTTTCTTCCAAGGCACCTCTGGGTTGTGTCCCACCTTCTACTTTTCAATTAGTAGCTGAGCCTATTAATTATTTGCAAAACCTATGGTCTCCACCTGCCATGTAACAGGTACACAGCAAACATCTACTGAATGACCCAAATGTCACTCTGGCCCTCCTATGCACTGGTAAATGAAAAGGAGTGTTTAGACTTAGAAAAGCAAAACCTTAAAGATAAATGATGGTACTGGCTCATATTTTAAAAATGGATTTGTCATGGTTGAAAATAAAAACTGTAACTTCCCCAAAGCCAACAGCTGGACTAGGACAAGAATCTAGGACTGTGGCTTCCAGCTATCACCTTCACTAAGATAATTTAAGAAATAAAATTCTTGCAGTCTGTATAGTTGGCCTCTGTGTAACTGTGCATTCATTTAACTAGACTTTTAATCTAATCTCAAGTTATGTCTCTTCTTCCAATTCTTTTATTCATTTGCAAAGCCTCCAGTATACTCCACATGAGTTCATGCTGTTTTACCAATTGTGGAGCAATTGTTAACATCAGTTCTAATGTGACTGCTCATAACACCCTTGAAATGAGCCCAAGGCACAAGATGGGACTCTACCCAGGACACTTAAACCTCAATCTATCCATCTTCCTCACGGTCCCCCACCATGTGTCCCACTGCATGTGATGTCAGTGGCTCTCAAGTGGGAAGGAGAAGAAGCCACTTCAGTGGATTGTTTTCCAACCAGCTTTTCTGGCCCCCTACATTGCTCCACTCTTGGGTATTATGCTCCACTGGCAACAGCCTTGGATAAAACTGAAAATAGGTGCTGTAGGTAGTAAATTCATGGTAATGGTGGAGTGGTAACACAGAAAAGGAGGCTGAAAATGGTTGCACAACTTGAAGAGTATAATCAGTGTTACTGCATTGTACATGTAGAAACTATTAAATTGGTTTTTGTTTGGCTGTGTATATTTTTTGAAAAATACATTATTTGAGAAAAAAACCTTTCACACACAAAAAGTATATACATTCACAATTCTGGTTCCATATTCCCTCCATTTATCAGATTTTTATCCTAAAACCTCATGGCAATATAATTTAAATAACAGCCAACCAAAACAAATTCTTACAGAAAGTGTCGTTAGTTCACTTAGGAAACATAATAGATCTGCATGAGAACTCAAATTGTGTCACAACATCAAGATGACTATGTAATACGTGCAAGAAACTTACCACTGTTCGGAACCATTTGTGCTGAATTCTTTAACTTTGCATTTTGTTTCACCTTTGTGTGTTTTTCTGAATTTACAGCATCTTCTTTTTTCCCTTTTCTCTTTGAGGGTTGTGGAGATGAATTGTCACTGTATCCAATTGTTGACTTTGATTGGCGATCATTCCCCTAAATGAAAAACATTAGAGTGTTACATTTGACAAGTGAATTTCCAGAGTGATTCCCAGTAACTGCATGTCATTAACAGTGTTAAACAGAGTTCTGGTGGCCAAGTGTAAAAAAGCTGTGCTTCCATCCAAAAGGCATAAGGTTTGAATCACCAGCTGCTCCAGAGGTGATCAAACTGTCTGTGAAAATCTACTAGAAGGGCAATTGTGGGTCAGTTCCAACTTAATGGTACACAACAACAGCATTAAATGGGGTAGGGACAGATGTGTTAATTCTGTTCCTAAGTTTATCTTCACAGAGGCAGAGAAAACAGAATCAAAATAATAGCTAACATATTTCATATGCACCAAGTATTCCAGCAAATTACTTAACTTCATCTTCACAATGACCCTGAAACTTCATGGTAATGCAAATTTTTACCAAAAGAAATAGGATATTATACCATCTCTCTGGGACCTCTGGTGGATTACAATTATTGTAATTGCCTCACTATACAGATTAAGAAATCACACAATGGAACACTTTGCAGCACTAAGGAACAAAAATTTTGTCAAATACTATATATCACAGTTGAGTCTAGAGAGCATAATGCTGAATAAACCAACTCAGTCTCATAAAGACAAAAACAATGTAATACCATTATTGTAAAAATAGAAGGATAACTAGTAGGATGTGTATAAATGTCCAAAGGGATAAAGGAAGATGGACGATGTGGGAAGCTGATAGGGAAATGGAGATCACTAAGATACAAAAGTTTGGTGGGTAGAAGGGAGTGTGAAGGAATAAGTAAGATACAATGGGGAATGAAGAAGATGAGGTAATTATAGGTATAGATCAATGGTAATTAATTATATGGAGCACAATGTATATGAATGATTATATGAAACACAATGTTTGTGAAAGATTGTATAAAGCACAGTATACAGAATAAAACACAATGTATATGGATTATTGTGTTAAAATTAAAAAAGCATACCAAGTGAACAAACAAAAATAAAATCACTAACCACAGAAATTTTTTTAAAAAATGAGACAAAGAGGTTAAGCAGCTTGTCCAAGATTTCATAGCCAGTAAATTGAAGGGCAGTTTGCCTGCGGGAAAGTGGCAGCTTCAGTGCCTTAACCATATCCTCTTATTTTCATATCCTTCTGAAGAATCAGCAAGTGTATATGATATGAAAAATACCAGCAACTGAGTTCAATCAGTTAATCTAGAAAGATCTTAATAAGTTTTTGCTGTGAATTAAACAGCACCATACAAGCAAACGTATGTCATTCTTGTGGAAACTCTCGAATATTAACTCATTTGAATAGTGGCAGTTATGGTCCCTATGAACTGAAAACCTAGATCAACATAAAAACCCAAGCAGCTCAGGGCCACATGCTCTGTAATTGGCTCCCTGAGGACTGTGGCAGGCAGCTACAGGCTGTCATACCTTTGGTAGATTTCTCTGGACTCCCACATGCTTCTGGTCACTCCTCAGTATAAGGGTGAAATTAAATTCAACAGTCTCTAGTGCAGCTTCTGAGAGCCACAAAAGAGATGCTACAGTGGTGACTACTGTAAGATCTAAGGAACCTTTGTGTTTAATCATTTGCTCTAGTCAGGGACTCTGCTGCAAGAAATTATCTCCTAATGACATAGACTTGGATATCAGACTTAGGTACTAACCTTCCCTTAGTGTGTATGTAAAGAATCAGACTGGCAAAAATGACTGTTTCAGTTACACAATGTACTTGCCTCAAAGTACTGTGCCGTGCCATCTGGGACCTGGGGCTAACTAACCCCTAAACCATTCCAAACCTTGATTTGCTCATGTGTTGAGTGGGGTTGCTATATCTTTGGGTCTATCACTGTTGTTAGGGGCTATTTAATCTGTTCATAACAAGCAACCTCATGGACAAGAGAAAGAAATACTACCCAATCCCCAGCCATGCTTATGATTCCTATGGTCTATAAGGATAGAAAATGGGAAAGTAAGTAATATAGAACCTGGCATGTACTATTTACTGAATGGGTATCAGAGAGCTCTCTTCAGAGCAGAGATTTAATCTCTTTTCCTTTGGAATTACACCAAACTCACACGATATTGGTTGCAACCTTTATGCAACATCTGTACTATGCTAGGATCTGAAAATAAATGTAAGAATATTAAATAAACAAATCTGCCTAGAAACCTATTATAACTGCTCATTTTAAACATTTATATATTCAGCCATCCAGCAGCATTTAAATGGTTTTTGCCATTATCCAATTAAGAATTAAGAATAGAAAAATTCACAGACTTACAAATGAAGTTATTTATACTATTTTATCATAGCCTACAAGAAAATGAATTATGCATAAATTTATTAACAGTATGAGAACCTGTCCAAATCTATAACACTTTGTACATGTAATTTAATTTCCTATTTCAACTGCAATTTAAACATTCAGGTTCCATTTAATTATTGTGTTAACTGTGACTAGAGATTTTTTTTTCTTTTATCTTCAGTGATTCTTGCAAGAACATAAAATGCCTGGCATAGATAATGAGATTACAAAGGAAATTTCAAAAATATCAGCCAAATCTCACATCTCAGTTTGTAGTCAACAAAGCCTATGTCCATTTCAAGATGCTAAAACATTAAGGTCCTTGGATGAGAGTTACAAGTGGTCAGACTACTGGCTATTCAGAGATGCTGTTGAACTAGTGAAAATGAAAATGGAAACTAATGAAGAGAAATTCTGGATCTCAGGAATATTCAGGATTATTTTTATTTACTTGGGGTTTTGTTTTACAATTTCAGGAAAAGTGCTACTCTAAAGATCACCTAATGGCTAATGTAATTTTAAAACTCAACTCTCATCTCAAATATACAGGAAAGCTCTGATTTACTGCATTTGTGAAAGGGACACTCAAATGAGTGATGCTGGACCATTAAGAAAGGTGAGCTTTCTCAAATAATTATTTAAGGCATGTCTTTGGTAATAGACACCCATGCATCAATGTAGACCTTGCAACACCTTGTAAAAAATAAACTGAAAGGGAGAAAAAATACCTTTGTCATCAGAAAATTATCACTAACCAAAGTGCTCTTCAGTTAGAAAAAAAACCAACATTGATTCATACAAACTATCAATAATTTTAAAAGAGAAAAATTCACTACAGTAGGTAGTGAATTACATGTTGGGTTACTAATGAAAAGGTTGAAAGTTTGAATACAACAAATATTCCTCTAGAGATAGGTAAGATTCTCTTCACATTTAAAGCCTCAGGAACCTGATGGAAGGCAATATTGAGTTGGAACCAACTTGAGGGTATTGGATTTGGTTTGACTTCTCTTTTCTTTAATTGGTTATATAAGACACAAAACCTCACTACCTAAAGCCAATTCCAAATTCACAATGGCCCTACAGGACAGAGTAGAACTATTCTCATAATGTTTCCAAATGTGTAATGATTACAGAAATTGATTGTCATATTCTCTCAGAGAAGTTAGTAAATTCCAACCTCCAAACTTACAGTTAACAGCTTAGTGCCACCATGGATCCTAAATGTAGATATAAATGTATAGATATTTGCTATTGTTTAGGAGACAGAGGGTAGGGGTGAGGGCCATTTTCCCAACTCATAAACATATAATAGCTGATATATTATCAATCACCTCTAATGTGCTAAATAAATATAAAAGACTAATATTTACCACAATTTATAAACATCACTGTCTCAACTTTTTCCATAAAGGAATTGAGTTTTCCAAGATTGCCCAAGTCCGACTTCATTACTACACTGAAGCTTCTTAATGTTCAAGACACTAGAAAACCTTCTATATAACTCAGAACTGACAAATTATAACTTTATCTCAAAGTAAAGGAAATGAAGAATGCAGTAAAATTTTATAGGGAGTCTTACACAAAAACTTGATCCTATGTAATACTTAACCTACAATTCTGCCTCTTGCCTCACATATATATTAGTATATACTATAGGAATAGTAAGTCCTGGCTCAAATAAATAAAGCACCAAGAGTTCTGAAGTCACCCTTCCATCTACTAAGATTTTAATTTTTTAACAGATCTCTAGGTTCTTTATAAGATCAAACCAACTCTGGTTCCTTACATCAACAATATAATCCATTTTATACAGCCATAAAAGCATGCAAAATTTATACAGACCATACAAATATTATTTAAACACACAATAATTTTGAGAAGGGTTTGCGTCACTAAACAGATTTCACATGTGTATGATCACTCATGCAGATAGGGACATCATATGAACTGACATTTTTCTCATTATATATCTGATAGTAGGCATACTGGCCTCAATATCAAGGTCCCATTGTGGCACAAAATATAATTCTCTGATTACTAACCAAAAGGCTGATTGGTGGTTTGAATCCTCCCAGAAGCACGGTATAAGACAGGCTTGGCAATTACAGCCAATGCAACTATGGAACAATTCTACCTTGTAACATAACACACAGGGAGTCGTAATGACTCAGGACACACTGACAGCCACAGATTTGTTTTGTAGTTTTGTATGTGTGCCTTTTTCTGTTCTGTTGATTTTTTGTTTTGTTTTGTTGTACTTTTGAGGGAGGAAGCCTCAGTTTTCCCATGCCAAGTGAACTTTTTCTTAATATATTTGTACACCATGACTGAAACAACAATATGCTTGAGCTTGATGGAAATTGTAGGAATGGTGCAAGCTTTCAAGCAGTTGATCATAGGGTGGTTAGGAGATGTAGTCAACTCCATATCACTTTACAACAACAAAATGTTTAGAACTTTCTTCACAATGATGTTTGATAGATGGATTTAAAAACATTTCCATAAGGTCCATTTCAATAATAATGACCCTCTATAATAGAGTAGAACTGTCCCACAGAGTTTCCAAGGCTATAACTTTTATAGGCACTGACTGACATCTCTCTCCTGATAAGTGCTGGCGGGGTTTCTAGTTCCGTTTTTCTGTTGTTATTGTTGTTGGGGTTTTTGTTTGTGTTGTTTGCTGTACCTTCCCTTAGCAATTAAATATTTAATATTATAAACTATCGGTAATAGATAACATGTGTTTTCCAGATGATTAGTAAGAACAACTTTTCTTAATTTTTGTGTCACACACTAGAGGGCGCTTTGATTCTATGTAGTGTTACCGCACAGCTACAAAAGGTAGTTTTTCATTAATGAGTTTGTTTTTAAAACTCAGTATAATTTATGAAAATTCACTAACTTAAAGTATTCCATAATTGCTCATTTCTGCAAGTCTGACCAGGATTAACTTTGGGCCTCATTCTGCTTTGCACAAAGCTCCTGAGAACTGGTCTGAAATGGTCTACAATCCCCTAGAATCTCTACAAGGGTACTCCAGGAAGCCCCAGCTTAGTCACCATGTACCAGCAAGGGTTTTCTCCATAAACTGGAGCAGCTTTCCTTCCCCCCCTCCTTCTTTCAAGTCTTCACTCATATTCCCTTCTTTGTATAATAAAGCAATTCCTGGAAAGTTGCATGGAAAAATACATTTCTAATGAATATCTAACTATCCAGTTCTATGTCTCTTTTTACTTCCACCTCTTGTCCAGCCATGCTTTCACTCTCTCTGCTGATGTGCGTGCCAGTGGTTCCTTAACTTGACTCTTCCCTTCCTAGGTCCTCCTTCCCTCATACCCCTTCTGAGTACTAAGCAGTTAATGATCTATCAAACTCATACATTCTTCAGGGAACCAATTAATTAAAGAAAAGGAGTAAATTAGTCCTTCTGTTAAAAATCGACTGTGTGACTTTGGATTATTTACACAAGATGTTCTCCCTGGGGGCTTACTGCCAGCTACCCACACACTCACTGAACAGGCATTGGTGAGAACCTGTTATTCCCCACAGCCTGTGTAAAACTTAATCTCTTTCACTTCACCATACCTTCCCAAATAAGGCCTTACCTGAACATCCCAGCTAAAACAACACCTTCTCTCACTTTCTCTTCTGATAATTTGATGCGTATTTCTTATACCTAATTGACATCACATTTACTGTTTTCTTGTTTGTCTGTCTCTTCGAAAATATAAACTTCTTACAATCAGAACCAATTGTTATTCTGTTGACACCAATTCATGGTGATCTCAAGCATGTCAGACAAGAATTGTACATTATGGTACATTATGGTATGACGACTGGTTTCCCAGAAGTTGATCATGAGGCCTTCACACCATAGATGGGCACTTAATCCCAATTAACCTGAAGGGTTTACCATACCCCTACAAACTCAATTCTTCTATGTCCCCAGCAACTTGCTCCATTTGGGGGCTTTGGAAATTTTACTTCTATTCACTGTGTTTCCTCTACTGGTTTTTAAGATATGAATAACAATGGCATCTGCCATGAGGAGTAAGGATTAGATAAATTCATCTGTAAAGAATGCAGCATAGCACTGAGTCCTCACTTGTCACTAAATATTGGCCTGTGTTATTGCTTTTCTGAATTTAGATCTGTTTTCTTCCATACATCATTCTTTGAATCAGAGACCCCCTTCAGTTGATCTGCATTTACCCAATCCTTAAGGAATATCTTAAATGAACTTCTTTCTTGACTTTTTACAAGTCACATTCACAACTTTTCTCTCATATTTACTAATTTCATTACCTTATTTTATGTTAGCTTTAACTTGTTGCCTTTCAAGTTATGTTCTCTATCTCAGTTATATTACAAGTTAAGGCATGAGCTTTATCATCAATCACTCACACTCAGACAATCACCATCAAGTAGAAACTGACTTATACCTGACCCTTGAGTGGGCTTTCAGAGGCTGTAAATTCCCAACGTTATCCCATAGAGCCGGCTAGTGTATTTGAAGCACCAGAAGGGCACTGCTTTTAGTTTCATAGTACAACTCCCTGTTTACCACACCACCAAAGTTCCCTTGTTGCTATAGTTGCTATCAAGTCAGACCTTATCTCATGGCAACCCCATACATAATAAGCTTAGACTATTGTGACCCAAAGGGTTTTCATTCGTTGGCTATTGGAACTAGATCTTTAAGTCTTTTTTCCTCAACTGAATCTAGAAGCCCTGCTAAAAAATCTGTTCAGGGTCACAACAATACACAAGCTTCTACTGATAGGTAAGTGGTGGCTATACTTTAGGTGTCTTGTTGTTGTTGTATACCTTAGAGTCAAAGCCAACATATAGCTAACCCTCTTGTGGCTTTCCAGAGGCAGTCAGTCACATAGGAGATGGCCCATCCTTCTCCCTCACACTTTAGGTGTACTCGTTAGAAATCAAACTCAGGTCTCTCACATGGAAAACAAGAATTCTAACATTGAATTATCATGACCCTCTTCCATATAATAAACATTTAATACTTTTTTATTCAATTGATGAATAAATGGATTAATAGTCCACTCGCCGTACAGAGGTAACTTGTGGTTGCTGTGAAGCTGAACACTGTGACAATGATGTGTCAAATATGATAATGGTTACCCATGGTGGACAATGTCTGGTGGAGCTCCCTGATTAAAACAAGCTTGGAAGCAGGAGTAGCATCCACTTTCGTAAATAGCTTGCCTCTGGAAACACTATGAATGAACCTGGAGAAAGGATGAAAGTCACGCAAGTGTTGAGGAGTTTTGTTCATAGGGTTGCTATGAGTCATCTACAACTCGACGGCACTTAACAACAACAGTATAGAAAATCCTCTAATAGGGAATAAAATATTTATATAAGTTCTTAGTCTTTTAAGAACTGTAACTATTAATTTTTACAAATTTTTTTTTTTAGTCTTTGTAAGAGACATGCAACAAGATAGATAGGCCACTGACATGACTGAATATAGAACATCTTCTAGGGGACCTCTAGTGGCATTGTCCGTAGTAAGTTCTAACACTAACCCAAAGTCTAGGTAATTAGAAGCTCAAATCCAACAATGGCTGGCTCCAAGGGGAAAAGAGGCAGGCTCCTCTCATTTGATAGTGTTGTTGTGTACCATCAAATTGGAACCAACTCACAGATGACTTCTCATGGGTTTTCTGAGGCAGTTAATCATCACACAGGAGGAGACCGTCCATCCTTCTTCCCGAGGAGCAGCTGGTGGCCTTGAAACTGTGTGTCTTCAGGACTGCAGTAGCTGCAGCTTCTTGCCACTAGGTTACCAGAGTTACAGCCTCAAAGAATGGAGGGTCAGCTAGGAGTCAGAGCTGACTGAAAAGCAATGAGTTTGAGTTTCAAATTTTCATGGCTTAGCTTTCAAGCATGGTATGAAGTAAGAAAAATACGCATTTAAGCACATGAGAAAAAAACGAGCAATCTCTTCCTGTATAATTAACTGCCTCTGAAATCCCACTGGAGGGTAGGTTATGGGTTGGTACTCAATAACTATAAAGAATAGAATAGAATAGAATAGAATAGAATAGAATAGAATAGAATAGAATAGAATAGAATAGAAT